TGAAAATAAACCATTCCTTTGGTGGTCATTTTTATGGTAGGTAGAAAGATCACAAAAAGAACTATGCTTAACAGATGGTAGTACATGACCCTCCTTCAAATATCTCTTAAATGGAAAAAAAAAGAATGCAATTATATTAGAAGGGTCAGCAAATTACAAACATTTTTCATGTTTAATGGGGGGTTGTGATCATTGTTTCTGAATTTAGAAGCAAATTCATTTTATCAACTCTATTACAAATGAAGAGGTATGAGGCTAAAGTGAAATTCTTCCATTTGAAAGTATTTTTTCATCTAAGAAACTGATGAAATGAAGGAATGTTCTACTTAAAATTTAGGGATTTTTTTCTTTTAATTAATTAAAGTAATTTAGTACAGAAATGCTTAACTTTGGTTTTACATTTTCATGATTTTCTCATTTAAGAGGGAGGTTAGCCACATACTTCACTATGGACTCATCTTATGGCATGGGCTGGTTTGCCTTTCTCAATAGTGCCTCAATTTCCTCATCTGAAAAACTGATTGGTTATTCACCTACTTCAGAAGTGTAGAATTTGTGGAGAAGGAAATGGCAAACCACTCTAGCATCTTTGCTAAGAAAACCTCATAGACAGTACTGGCATGCAATGGTCTGTGGGGTCCCGAAGAGTTGAACACAACTGAATGGCTGAATGACAAGAAGTTAGAGCTTGAAGAATTTCCTGGGGTTTTATTGGGTTTGATTACTGGATTTTACACTTTCAATCTCTCTTATCATGGTCATAATACATACGTGTATATGTATATATGTATATATATTTAAGATATATACAAATAGGGTTGCTTACACAGTGAAGAACCAGAAAAAGTATGCTTCCAATTCACTTGGTAGAAGGAAAAGAGACAAGAGTGTGGAGTCAAGGACAGTTTAGTGAAATGGAACTGCCCTTGAGCAGTCCAAGAGATCTGCAAAAGTGGAGCATCATGCAAAAAATGAAGAACGCTAATGGCCCATTAACAAGATATACAAATGAGAACTCTGATCCAGCCCCCTTGAAATGTTTCCTTCGTCCAGATGGGCTCAGGCTGACAATATTTATTATCTTATCATCTAACTAGGACAAGAACGGAGCCAGCAATTTCAGACACACCATGAGCTATGTGTTCCAATAGGAGGAAATCCTTATTGCATATTTTCATACATTTTAACACACAATGAAACATCTGGTAGTGACTTTAACCTCCAAAGAAAGCATATACATAACACAGACACACATACACATAAACACACACACATACACACACATGAAATATGTGTATAGGTCCAGATCCTGCTGTCAGACCCAGTCCATAGATGGAGCCCATATAATTTCCTTTATTGCTACTATAATTCAGGAAGAAGCACCATGGTGTGGTGGAAAGAGATGAGTGTACTTATTTTCAAAAGGCTTGAGTTCAAATACTACCTTAGATACTTACTAACCATATGAACCTAGGAAAAGTGTTTCACAACATTTGGAAAATGGAAGTGATAATACTTATGTTCCCTAAGAGTGACATGTACATATGAACTATTATTATTAGGTAGAGAATCTGGAAAGAGAAGACAGAAAACAAATTAATTCTTCTAAGTGTGTGGGACCAGAAAAACAAAACACTTTTGTCCATCTGGGGCTCCTCAAATAACAAAATTGTGTGTGTGTGTGTGTGTGTGTGTGTGTGTGTGTGTGTGTAACTGAGTAATAAAATTTAATTGGAGCCATTTAAATTAAGCAGTTTATTTATAAAGAATTTTGAGATGAGCAAAATATATTTGAAAGTTAAAATTTGCCCTGGTTGGGTACCTTCTCCTATCTCAGCAGCTTCAATTGGGAGAGCACAGGCAGTGATACCAACTGACCTAGGCCTCTCCCCTCTAAGCTGTGAAGTCCAGCTACTGGAGTGGATGGTATGATGAGGGAAATAAAAGAGGGGAATCCTCAGGGAAGATGGGCTTTCTTCCTATAACCAGGGATTTGGGCACAAGCTAGAGTGTCTACCCTTTCTTTTTGTGCAGGATCTTAGTTTTCATACTCTCTGTCTCTGTCTCTCTCCCCCTCTTTCTCTCTTCTCTCCCTCTCCCCTCTCCCTCCCTTCTCTCTCTCTTTCTTTGTTTCTCCCTCCCCCACATTTCATTCTCCTTTTCATCTTCCGCTCCTCTGTCTCTCCCTCTGTCTGCTTTTTTTCTGTCTCTCTGTCTCTCTCACTATTCCTCCCCCCAAACTGAAATTGAGGAAGGTTTTTGCTCTCTTGGGATAACAAACCGGAGAGACATGACTACAACTTTAATAAGCAAAGAGAGCAGCACCGACATAATTTCCTAACCTTCCCAACCTCAGCTGCAAGTGGTTCAGAGGGGAGAGAAGCAGGACAGCTGTGAAAATACCTCAGAAGTCAAGGTCAGGTCAGTCTGGTTGTTGTCTTTCCTTTCTACACTGCCAGTTATGTAATTATTTCTAAATGACAGCACTACTGATTTTTGTCAACAGGACCATCTTAAGTGAGGTTAACATGTTTTGCCAAAGAAAGGGAGCAAATCCCTGTCTCTGGAGGTCCGTGACCTACTAGCAATGCTAGAACCAGTTCCATACCTGCTGCCCATTGAGCAGAGTTAAAAGACTCAAGAAGGCCAAGGGTAACTAGGAAATTGGACAGTAGAGTTTAATATTCCATGTCCAAATGGTGCACAAAAATGATTAACCATTATAAACACTGCCTGGGAATGATTAGCACTAGAATTAGAGTGAGGAAACACCATTTGAGGCCGGCTCTGGCTCTGACTAGTGGTGTACCCGTGGGCATTCATGTTACCTCTCTCTCTGAGCCTAAAGGTCTCCATTTGAAAAATGGGGGTAATAGTACCTCCGATGTCTACCTTGTGTGGCTGTTCTCATAAGAAAGCACTTTTCAAACTGTTCAAATTTATGGAGCACTTTCAGACTTGCAAAATGTTTTACATAACACGCCCTACTATTATCCACATTTTGGAGATGAGAGATTGTAAATGACTTGTCCAAGGCCAAAGAGCTAGTGTCTGGGGCAGAACTTGAATCCAGTTTCTCTGACTGCAAGTCACTTGAAGCAAGTTGGCCACGCTGCCTCCCAAGCTATGTTAATTTCTGTTATTATTTAAGATCCTCAAAGGCAAGGACTACTTCATTTTTGTCTTTGTAACTCCAGTGCTTGGGATTGTGCCTGGCATAAAGGAGGAACTTAATAAACGTGTATTTATGGTTGAGGCAGCTAGGTGGGAACAGTACTGGACTTTTGAGTTTGGAAATACTGAGTTCGAACCATATCTCAAACACTCCTACCCATATGACACTGGGCAAGTCACAGTTTTTTCAGCCTCAGTTTCCTCATCTGCATAATAGAGATAATAATGGTTGTAAAGATGAAATGATACATGTAAAGCACTTTGCAAGCCTTAAAACCTTAAAAAGCATTACATAAGTGCTAGCTACTATGATTTTGCATGGTACATCCCTTCTTTGGTGCCTCAGTTTCTTCATAGCTGTATAATACAGAGAACGCTGCATTATCATGTAATATAGAGAATAATCATACCTAATAAGGGGCATCTAGGTGATACAGTGGAGAGTATTTGGGACTGGAGTCCAAAAGACTCATCTTCCTAAGTTTAAATCCAGCCTCAGACACTTACTAGCTGGGTGACCCTGAGTAAGTCACTTAACTCTGCCTCAGTTTCCTCATCTGTACATTAAGCTGGAGAAGGAAATGGCAAACCACTCCAGTATCTTTGCCAAGAAAACCCCAAATGGGGTCATGAAGAGTAGGACACACATTATTATTATTATTTCTAGATTATTATCTGTAAATAAATAATTATTACAGATTTGTCCAAGCCCTGAAGTTTTAAATGATTTGCCAGTGATCGCACAGTGAGTATGTATCACTCCCCTTGACAGAAAAGAAATAAAAGCAGAACGAAATAAGAGCTGAGCACCTCTGACTTCTCCCTGTTATCTTTGATTGTCATTCCAAGCAATGGCCACATCCTGCCTCTGACCTTCTTCTCTCCCCCAGTGTAGCTAAGGGGATTGGTTCTCATTGTGTCTTATCCCTCCTGGACTGACTCACCCTACAGAATTTTAGCTTAAGTGTTATCCATCTCTAAACCTTTTGAAATCTCTTAACCCCAAACCCAGTCTTTGTGTCAGATGATGCCCAGCTTTTCTCTCCTTTATCACAAATTCCAAGATGGAATGATCACTTCCCTACCCCCTTGGCAAGATTAAATACTCAATGCTTATAATATATTAGAGAAAAGACGTAATTAGAGTTCAGAACAAACAGACCAACTCACAGTACATGATGTTTGGAGAATACCTCATCCTTCAGTCTTTGTCTGAGTAAATCAGGCAACTCCAAATTCTCTCAGACATTTACTGAAGACTTTGCAAGGCACAAAGAAAAATAAGACAAAAGAACTGACTGTATTGTCTTCCCCTTGTTCTCTCTCTCTCTCCCTCCCTTTCCCCTTCTCCCTGCTTTCTCTGTCTCCCTCCTTTTTCTGTCTCTGTCTCTGTGTCTCTCCCCACCCCCATCATTAGGATTTGAAGCAGCAAAGTAATTTACTATGAGAAAAGGGAGTCATTGAATTCCTAGAGTTTCACAAGTCCCCAAACTCTACTGGCAATTTCTCCCCACCCCTATTTCCAGTTATGTTGAATCAATCCAAATAGTAGCCATGGAATTTCACCATTCCCCCATTTCAAATCATTTGGGACCTGAAATCAAAAAGAAGAATCATGATGTATAAGAAAACAATTACAATTTGTTTAAACTAGGGCACAGTGAGAATGTCTCAAGAATAACATTTACATAAGAAATCACAATAACCCTGCAGTTAAACTCCATTATAAGAAAGACAGATTTGTTTGGGATGAGAAGTAGTAGGACTGTTCTTCTGGGCTGGCTTGCTTTCTCCCCCAGTACAAAAGGATGTAAGTGACTACTAACCTTTCCACAGGATCCCTCAACATGACTATGAGTTTCGCATTTGGCTCAAAGGCATGGATGAAGTCCTGGATGAGAAATGGAGGTTCTCCATCAGTACTATTGTCATAGAAGTAAGTCCAAGCATTATTGTCCCACATGGTTGAAGCGCTGGCCTCTCCTACAAAGAGAAAATATTCCAAACAGATATTTTCATTTTAATTTAAATTGGTTTTTGGCTTAATTAAAACTTGATTGAATTGTTAAGCATGGAATTATAGGTAAAGCCAAAAAGAAAAAAAAAAGGCTGATCTTTCACAAAACAGGTAATGCTCATTTAATAAAGATCGCAGAGACTAAAATGGCTCTTCTGCCTTTATGCTCAAAATGACCACAGCAGAGGCCTGGTACAAGAAGGGTGACTGACGAAAGCACACAGATCTACTCCAAATGTCTTTATGTGAAACAACTAGTCTGTCCAAATACTGAGCATTCCTACGCCTCCAGGCTTCTCTTTGTGAGGCTTACAAAAATAATTACAACCACGCAGCATTCCCCATTTAGCTTGGACTAAATGATATACATAGCAATATAGTATTATGGACAAATTGGGAAGCACATGATTTTTTTTTCCCCTCAGAGAGTAGCAGGGATAATAGAAACAATTGTGTAAACTGCCTATGTTAGGAAATTAGACAGAAAGAAGCCTGGCCTTTCTTTTTCTGGAACCTTAGCACTTCAAAGATTCAAATGAAGTGGCCAGGAATTTAGCCTGAATTATCCTGTTAACTGTGATTATGGAATTAGGTGAAATATCCAAGAGTCTGGGGAAAGACCATCGAACTCCAAAGCTCTACGCTAGGCCCAGTATCACCACTAGCTAACTGGGTCATGTTGAGCAAAGTGCTTTATTTCTGAGCCCCGGTTCTGTCAACATTTGTTAAAATCACATCATAAGTTTAGAGCTAGAATTCACCTGATAAAATATCTAGTCCAAAATCCTTATTTGCCAATGAAAAAACTGAGGCCTAAGAGACGAACTGACTGGCCCAAGACTCATCAGCTCCCATGGATTTAACTACCATCTCCATTCTGTCAATTCTCAAACCTACTATTCTGCTCTAACCTCTCTTCTGACCTCCAATCTCTCCTTTTCAGTTGCTTTCAGACATTTTAAACTGGATATCCAGTAGACATCTTAAATTCAACATGTCCAAAATAGAACTCATAAATTTTCCCCCTAAACCAACCCCTCTTCTCACTTTCCCTGTTACTGTAGAGGGCAACACCATCCTTCCAGTTCCTCGGGCTCACAACCTAAGAGTCATCCTGGATTCCTCACTATCTCTTCCCCCCACCCCAACCCCAACCCCAGCCAATCTGCTGCCAAGGCCTGTTGATTTCACCTTCGTAGCCCACTTCTGTCCTCAAACAGTGTCACCACTCTGGTGCATCAGACTCTCATCACCTCACACTACCTCACCTATCACAATAGCCTGTTGGTGGGTTTGGGTCTTAAATCTCTTCCCAATCTTGTCCATTCTCAGTTGGCCACCAAAGTGATCTTCCTAAATCCCAGGTCTGACCATGTCACTCCCACATTCACTAAACTCCATGGGCTCCCTATTTCTTCCAGGATCAAATACAGCTGTTCTTGCTGGCATTCAAAGTCCTTCATAACCTAGCCCTCTCCTACCTTTCCAGCCTTCTTACCCATTACTCCCCACCATGTACTCTTCAATACAGTGACACTGGCCTCCTGACTGATAAGATTCTCCACCTCTAGGCTCTGGGCATTTTCTCCAGTTGTTCTCCATCCCTGGATCACTCTCCCTTTTCAACTCTACCTACTGACTTCCCTGGCTCTCTTTAAGTTCCAACTAAAATCCCATCTTTCGCGGAAAGTCTTTTCCAATACCTCTAAATTCTAGTGCCTTAACCCTTTGTTAATAATTTCCTATTTATCCTATATACAGCTTTCTTTGTCTGTATTTGTTTCAATGTTGTCTTCCCATTTTAAGCTCCTTGAGGGCAAGGACTGTGTTTTGCCTCTTTTTGAATCCCCGGTGTTTAGCTCAGTGCTTGGCACACAGTAGGAGCTTAATAAATGTTTATTGATTGATACAGGAAGTGGCAGAGCCAGAATTTGAATCTAAGACCTTGGACTCCAAATCTAGAACTCTTTCCATTGAACCATGCAAATGAGGATAATCTTTAAGGATAGCATTTTTTGATTTTTTGATATTTCAAAAAGTGAATTATAGATTTAAATAATACAGGTCTGAAGAAGTTCATCATTTTAGAATAATATGGAATTCCAAAAAAGAGACATATCTCAAACTATCAATGCTTCAGTCATATGTATGAAAGGTTTCAGATATAATTGCGTGATGGGCAGATATCTCAAGCCATTTTTTTCAAGGGCAAATTTGGATGAAAACCCCAAGTTTTTCTAATGAGAGACCCTCTTATCCTGGTAATGCCAGAAATGTGTTATGCCATTCTATATTAGGCTAGCTATATGATGCCTGCCACATTTGATACTTCAGGACTTAGTAAGAGGACTAGATCTGGGGTAAAGAACACGGGTTCAAATTTGGGATCTATGATTTCTATCCACATGTCCTTAGACATATAAATCATTTAACCACTCTTATCCCTCAATGTCCTCATCTGTAAAATAAAAGAGTTGATTTAATGGTCTTTATGGTTACTTTCTAGATCAGAATCCTATGACGATTATTCAAAAGAAACAGGAGAAATAGGAAAAAAATAAAGCAGGGTGGTGGGACAAAGTTGCATTGTACATTAAGAAGATATAGTTAAGTGATGAAACCCAGGGACTTAAAGGAAGGGGTGATATTATGGGAAAGAGTATTTAAGTGATGATCAATTCAGGCAGAAATAGAATAAAATATCCTTGAAATAGACTTAAATATATTTATTATACAAGATGGTTCTCTAGGAGGGGGAGAATTATTGGGAGAAATTCTGATAATGTAACACACACATATATCTATCTATCTATATCTATCTATCTATCATCTATCTATCTATCTATCTATCTATCTATCTATCTATCTATCTATCTATCTAATCTATTAGAAATCACATGGACAGGAAGAAGAAACCAAAGAAAAATTTTGGAAACAGATCAAAGCGTGGCACAGACACATGGTATGCTAGTGGTGGGGACTACAATTATCTGTATATCTAATGGAAGTACCCTTATGCCAAAAATAGATCAGCTACTAATTTCTTGACCTATCTTGATGATCATTTTATCTTTCAAAGTAAGGAAGAAATGATTAGTAAAGTCTATTATGGATCTAATTCTCACCAACAAGTTGGAACTGGTTTCTGGTATGGAAGTAATAAGAATCTTGCAGGAACAGGATCCCTCATAGAATTTGTGATAGAGAAATACAGGGAAGTCAGACACGGTCTTTCATGTACCCTAGTGTTTTAGAGAGAAGAATTAAAATACTTCAGAGAAAGGTATGGTAGACTCCCATGGACTAAAATTCTATAAGGGAAGGCAACTCATGAGGGATGAAAAGTTTTTAAGAATGAGAATATTTCAACACAAAAAGAAAAAAAACTTTCTTAGGGGAAGAAAAGGCCTTAAAAAAGGAATAGACCCACTGATTGGAGTGGATAGAATGCTAATAAAAGATGATGGAAGGAAAGAAGATCCACTCAACTTTCACTTTGCTTTACTTTTTCCCCCAGAGGAGTGAACTTTGCTCTGAACAAAAGAGGTCAAAATAAACATAGCAAATAGGGAGTGTATACCTAATAATAACTAAATGGATTGCAAGAGAAAAGCTAACTGCCCTTGAGGAGGTTCAGATCACCCAGCCCAAATCCTAGATTACAAAAAGAATTGGGAGGTGTGTGTGATTGCTGAGCCACTGAGAGTAATCTCTTGGAGAATAAGAGAGGAGAGACATGATTGGGGAAGGGCAAATGTTGGCAAAATTAAACAAATAACCTTGAATCCCATGCTTAGCTTAGCCAAGTTCTGCAACATATTGTTGAAGGGATGGTTAGTGAACAACTGGAAATGGAAGCAGTGATCACAAGGAACCATCATGGCTTCATGAAGACCACATAATACCAAACTAAGCTTATTGGTTTTTTTATGACAGGGACACTAGATTAGTAGATAAGTAGCATCCTGTAGATATAATTGAACTATTTTTTTAGCAAAGAATTGACAAACTCTCTCATGCTGTTCTTGAATAAAAGATGGAAGAACGTAGGCAAGATTAATTTGGGAGATTCAGAAATGGCTGAATGGTTGGACCAAAGGAGTAGTCATTAATAATTCAATGATTATCTTGGGAGGAAGTCTCCAGTGGATTTCCTTTAAAAATCTGTCCTCACTCCTGTGCTACTTCACATTTGTATAAATCATGTGAATAAAATACAAGATGGCTTGTAAAATCTGCATATAACGCAATGTTGGGAGAGATGGCTAATTCACTGGATGATGAAATTCCAGAAGTTCTTGGCAACCTAGAACACTGGGCTGCATCTAATAACATGATATTTGATACAAATGTAAAGTCTTATACTCGGGTTCCAAAAATTATAAGGACTAGATGGGGACAAAATGGCTAGGAAGCAGCTCATTTTTTTTTAAGGACAAAGCAGCTCATCTTAACAAGATCTGGGTAATTTGGTCAACTGCAAGCTCATGATTTGGCAGCCATGAAAACTCATGCAAACTTTAATCTTACTAGTAAGAAAGGTATTATGCCCAGGACCAGAGCTCATTGGACTCTGGTCAGACAACACCTATCATAGTGCCTAGCACATAGTGGATACTTAATAAATGCTTATTGATTAATTAATTGGTTAGGTCATATCTGTAGAGTTGTGTTCAGAACTGGGTAACCATAGTTTGGCAAGGGCGTTGATAAGCTCATGATAATCCAAGAGAGAGCAACCAGGAGAGTGAAGGACCTCAAGATCATGTCATGTAAAAATAGGCTGAAGTGGGAATTTCTAATCTGGAGAAGAGGGAAAAGTGGACATGATAGGTGTAAAGAAGCATTTGAAGGGCTATTATTTGAAATGGGATCAGATTTGTCCTGTTTGGCCTCAGAGGGCAGGGTGCAATAAGAGGAAGCTGCTTAAAAAGGAAATTTAGGCTTAATGTAAGGAAAATCTTCCTAACAATTAAAGATAATTAAAAGTAGATTAGGCTGCCTTTGGACTGCTTTTCACTGGAGGTTTTCCAGGAAGGAGTGGATGGCCATTTATTAAGTATCCTGTAGAAAGGGTTCTTCTTCAGGTATAGGTAATGTCTGACAACTTCTGAGGTCCCTTCTAGATTTTAGATTCCATGACTCCTGTGATCCTATGAATTATCTGACCACAAACATGATTACTGAAGTACTAAGTACAATTTGGAACATCTGAACTTTCAAAGAAATCCATCTTGGCAGGAGCCCATTAAAATGCCTCAGAGACCCATCATGTTTAATTATCAACCGCTTTTGTAAAAGTAGATCAAACCTGGAGGCCAAACTATTCTGCACAGTCTCTCTCCTACTACTTTCTGTGTACTACTTTCATACCCAATCCCTAACTTCATGGCTTGAATGTTTAACTATCTCATCAGGATAAGGGAAAGAGCAATAGGAATGCCATGAGGCACCTGGTAATGAAATCAGTCTAATATCAAATCATATTGATAAAATGGGCAATTCAATACAATAACAGACATTTATTAAGCATCTGCCCTGTGTGGAGCACTGTCTTGGGCATATTAGAGGCAGGGTTGTACAGAAGGAATGCTAGACCTAGGTACAAATTCTACTTTTGATGCTTCTAGTATTTGGAAGATGTATGACTTGGGGCAGACCACTTATACTCTGAGTTTTGGTTTCCTCAACGGTAAAAAGGGGGAGAATAATATCTGTAGTCCTCTCAGGTTTGTAGTAAGGATTGAATGAGAAAAGTGTTATGAAGTATTGTAGAAATATCAGTTATTATTATTATTATTAGGGGATACTCTAAAAAGGCTTGCAAAGATTAAATAAGCTCACATGCACTTGAACAATTCATATGCCCTGAAATGAAACTACCAAGCTGCCACTCCCTTGCAGATACAGTCTTACTACTTCAGACAAAAATCCCAGCACTGGACTTGTTACCATTGACCTGGCTGTTTCCCAGCTTTACTGTGGACTTATCTGTAGGGCAGGGCTTTTAAGTAAGATAGCACTAATGAACTCATGATGGAACTGTTATGACTATTAACCCTATTTCCGCATTGTCCAGTGACCAGTCCAATCTCCCTGTTTTCTGAGAGTGTGTGTACTTCTGGACCAGTATTTCAGTAAATAATCCATGAGAGTGGGACCTATCTTGCTTTTTGTCATCTCACCAGAACAGTAGATACTTGGTGGGAGACATATGGTTTAAGCATGGCTATAAGGGCAGAGGTACAGAGCTGGTCAAGTTACTGGATAGAGGTGGTAGCTAATAATGATTATGGCCTCAAATCTTATCTGGGTAAATTTGTGCCTTAAAGGGAAGTCAAGGCTCCATCCAATAAGGATACAAGATCTTCACATTCACCTAATTTGGTGGCATAAGCCGAAATAAACCCTTTTCAGACAAGGCCACAAGTAGAAGAAATTTACTCTGGTCTCTTACTGCCAGAGACTTGGTGTTTTCTGAGGAGAAACTCAAGTGATTAAATATATGTCTGTCCCTTCGGAAATGATGGGTATAATTAAATATCCATGTTTCAAATGGTTGCATTTAATCTTAATCACTAACATATTCATTTTGTTTAATGATCAAATTGCTACAGGACAAGCAAAATATACCAATTTTTCACATGGGTTTGAGCAGATAGTTTGCATTAAATTTCTCTCTTTCACAAAAGAATGTGTGCATATTTTTACCCTGAGATAAATGAAACATATGATCATCTTTTTGATATTTTCACAAAATATTCTAGTGGACTTACCAGAAAGATGATCATAAATAAATCGATCATATTTAGGAGGTCTAAAGGAATGGAATTAAAAGCATCTCTGATTTATGAATAGATTTTAATCACAGAAGAAGCATTAAGACAGTATTTCTTCTAAGAGTATGCAGGAACATATACATTCCCATTTTCAAAAGAAAATTATTCAATCGATAGCTTTTTTTAAAAAAATCTGTTGATGAGATTTCTGAGTTTTCTTTTAAAGGCAGGAGGAACCAAAGAGAGATCTGAAAACTCCATGTCAAGCTCAAACACTCCATTTAAGCAGCGATTGCAATCCACAAATGAAAGCATCATTTAAAAAGCACATACCAGTAATAACTTTCGTCATGGCTGAGCCCAAATGCAATACAAATTCTTAGAAGCATTTTTGTTTTCAAAACGTGACACAGTGATTAAACATTTCGTGTGAGATAAGTGTTGGGGAAGGAAAAACAAATGAAGCCCTCCCCTGGAACCTTTGTAGATTTGGGGTATATTGTTTCTCTTTGCACAATCTATCACGCAGCCCAAATGATCAACTTGTTACTCCTCACATTCCGTTTCCTAGGCTCTGAGTCTTTTTATGTGGCGCCTCCTCCTGCTTCATTTTTTTTTTAATTTTCAGGCAATTGGGGTTAAGTGACTTGCCCAGGGTCACACAGCTAGTAAGTGTCCAGTGTTTGGTCTGAGGCCAAATTTGAACTCAGGTCCTCCTGACTCCAGGGCTGGTGCTCTATCCACTGCGCCACCTAGCTGCCCCCTCCTGCTTCATTTCTATCTGTTAAAATCCTCATCTTACTTCAGGGCTCATCTTTTATGAGACAACTTCCCTGATCTCCTTAGTCTTTAGTAGTCATTCCCTCTTCCTCCAGTCATCCTATATATATACTTATCTGTGTGCAAGTTTTGGCCCTCAGTAGGATGTAAACTTCTTGAAGGCTCTTTTTTTATTTTTATTTTTTGGTTCTATCTTTGTATCCCTAGTATCTAGCATTGCGCCTTGAACATAGCAGGTGCTTAATAAAATGCCTGTTGGATTGTCATGGATAGCAAATGGCAATCCTCTTGAGGACAGACCTTAGCACAAGGGCTGGAATCTTTTGCTGTTGTTTAGTCAAGTCTGACTCTTTGTGACCCCATTTGAGGTTTTCTTGGCAAAGATACTGGAGTGCTTTGCCATTTTCTTCTTTAGCTCATTTTACAGATGAGGAAACTGAGGCAAACAGAGTTAAATGACTTGTCCAGTGTCACAAAGCTACTCAATGTCTAGCTGCCCACCTAGCACATAGTAGGCACTTAATAAATGTTTATCAAATTGAATTGAATTGACATGGACTGTTTTGGCTTTATAGTTCCAGGATGATGCCTTACCCTTACCCTTAAGAAATGTTTATGATATGAATGGGATTTTCAGGTCTTTTTGTAGGTGCCATGACCATACGCTTAAACCAAACCATCACTCTAGACAACAGTGGATGTGACTTTTCAAGAGCGGCAGGTACCATACCAATAACGATATGATTCATCTTGCTGTTCTCTGTCCCTGAATCACTCCGAAGTCCCTTGTGAATTTCATGGGCTGCCAAGTCAAACAAATCCAAGTAATCTTCCACTGGGGAGCGGTCACGAAACCCATCTCTCAGTCGCACTATTCCTAAACAGAAATGGAAAGACTGTGAATGACAGGGAAAAGAAACTAGGAGAAGCCCTCTGTTTCTCTCCTTTGGATTGTACTTGAACCCTCCATCCCCATCCCTGCCACTAGACTGTAAGCTTCATGAGGGCAGTATGATCTCATCATAGTAAGGGCAGAGATCTTGGGAGTCAGAATGCCTGGGTTTGAGTTCCGGTTCCAATAAGACCTACGTGTTTGACCTAGGACAAGCGACCCCTTGACATGTTTCCTCATCATCAAATTGGGAAGAGAGGGTAATATTTGTTCTACCTATTCTGCGGGCTTATTGTAAGGAAGGAGCTTAGTACATTAGTAAAAGGCCACACAACTAGCAAGTGTGAGATTAGTGCAGTAATTTAGCTTCCAGTGTTAAATAAATGTGAAGTATTATATTGATACCACTTCCATAGCACCACACTCTCTCTGAGCATGATAGGTTCTCATTCACTAATTTAATGAAAGTCACTGAGAAAAGGAAAATAAGCCATATTTTCTTAGGCAAATTTTAGTGGGTAATCAGATGGGAAAGAAGACCCACGAATGATTAAAATTCTTTTTATCTGTAGCTGCTTAAATAAGTAGCTCTGACTTTTCTGTGGGAAAAAAAATCATTTTCTGTGTAGTTTAGATGATGGAAAACATCATTAACTAGGTTAGTGGAGGTTTTAAGCATAATGTTATACCTATTCAAGCACTGTAAACATTTGAACTTTGTGAGGCATGTAAAGTTTAGGTATACTTGCAATAACTTAGGCATGAGCAGTATATGAGGCATATATTACATGTAATAGAAAAAGCAATGGGGGGGGGATGCAAACCAAGTCGAAGGACAGACCAATTTGAGGTCTATCATGATTATAAATGTTACTTCTCTTTTTTCCAGTGATGGTGACCTCACTGATTACTTAGGCTGAATATTTTTATTAATTTGATCGTCCTTTGAATTCACTGAAGTTATTTTAATATCACTGATTCATAGGATCAGGATGTAGAGCTAGAACGGCCCTCAGGGGTCATCTAATCCAATGCCTTCATTTTACAGATAAGGAAACTGGGCCCAAGGAGGTGAAATTACTCATCCAAGGCCACACAAACATAAGGTGGGGCTTCACCCGAGTCTTGACTACGTGATCATTACTTTATCCATCATTCCATGATATCTCTCAGTTCATTTAAGAAACATTTGTTGAGCACCTTCAATGTTCTAGACACAGAAAAGGATGTAAAGACATGCTCCATGTCCTCAAGAAGCTTTGCAGTTTATTAACATAGAAAGCCAAAACTTGCTCCTTTTGGTTTATAATAAAATCTACCTATAGCAAGATTTATAGATTCCTGGAAAAGAACTCACGGATCATTTAGTCTAATACTATTTTGAACATGAGGCAAGTGATGTGAATTACTTGGCATCATACAATTAGTCAATGATGGAGCTGTAACTAGACATTGCCTCACTTGTCGTGTCATAGTTCCAAAACTTTTAATAAAATCACCAAAACTTAAGGAAATAAAAAGTATAAACTAGAAAGTCGGAAGACCAGTGTTTTCAGGTAGCCAGAGAAGCACCATGCAGCACAATTAATAAAGACTAACCCTACTTTCTCACGGCAGCTAGGTGGCACAGTGAATAGAGCACTGAGCCCATAATATGAAAGACTCATCTTCATGCATTCAAATCTGGCCTAAGATACTTATAGCCATGTGACCCTGGGCAAGTCACTTAACCCTATTCACCTCAGTTCTTCATCTGTAAAATGAGCTGGAGAAGGAAATGGCAAACCACTCCAGTATCTTTGCCAAGAAAACTCCAAATGGGGTCGTGGAGAGTTGAGTATGACCTAAAACAAGTGAAGAACAACAACCCTTTCCCATAGATCCTGATTTTGCATGCCACAAAGCTGGGGGTCACTAAGGGACAAAAATGTTCTCCTCTATGTATCCAGCTCTCTGATACAGGAGACAGTGTTCAAAACTGTCTGATACCCAGAAAAGAGATGAGAAATGTACCTCCCTCCCTTCTTTGCAGAGGTGGTAGAGGAGTGAGGTGTCTTGGTTATGAAAAAGAGGACTTAATAGATTTGGAAACTGAGGTCATATAAAACAAGAGGGATTAATAGAAAAAAAAACTTTAAATATCTAGTGAACAACTAAGTCCATGGAAATCATAGCACCCCAAAATTATTATTTAGCAAAACGCAAGTGAAAAATACCCTCTTTCTGTTCATAGCACTTTTAAGTGTGAAGGAGTGATTGAAAGTTAGCCAAGAAATACTGAGAAGGATGTAAAACTTTAAAGTTGGACTAAAAGTATAACTTTTAAAAATTCCGTTCTAATGAATATGGAACCATTAAGTGGAAAACGCCCACTTGGCAAGTACCAAACTCTGGCATATGATTAGCATTTATCACCCTTTAGGACTGAATGACCAAAAGTCTCCTGGCAGAAAACAAAAAGGTTAAAGAAATAAAACAATGATCTGAGAGCCATTTGGTACTAGGCTAGGGCGGGGCAGGAAGCAGCCCAAAGAAAACTTACACAATCAGACTTAGAGAATCATCAGAAGAGACCAGTTACTTCAAGCTCACCCCTCTCTTCACCCCCTCTCCTAGCCCCTCGTTCTACCTGTACCCAATTTACAGATGACAAGACTAAGGATCACAGCAGCGGACTGATTTTCCCCATCACAAAGTTGAAGATCAAAATCTACATGTGATCTGCAGTACAGCCATATCTATCAGAAAACAGAGGAATAGCTTAATGCAGAAGAGGGGCCCTCTGAGCGAAGGTGATACAATATAGAGGACACACATCACAATGGGTGACTGCACAGTGGTAGTGATTAGTCTGAGCCTCATTTAGCTCTGGCTGCCATAGATACCCAAAATAAATGTCATAAGCAAGAGCTAACTATCAATCTGAAATGATCCCCGTATACTGGATGAGAAACTTTATTATTATTTTCAATAGCTAGAAAAAGACAAGACTAGAAGAATTTTTAAAGTTAATACAAACACTTATCATACTCATATGTCCTCCAACAAAGTTTTATTTTCTATTCCCTCAAGTAGAAAAAAAATTTAATTCTTTTAGGTTTAATTGAAAGAGGCGAGCTAGCGCCATGTGCTACCTTGTATTACTAGTTATCTTTGCATGTGTAAAAATATCTTATCTCCTCAGATGAAATAATGACAGGTGAAATGCTTTGCAAACCTTAAAGTGCTATACAAATGCTACTATCATAGAGATAATTATGGTAGATTTTATGTATATATACATATACATACACGTATGTATTTATAAAGCACTTGATACCAATTCTCTCATTTGTTCATCAGCTCTCCCCGTATAACTATTATTCCTGTTTTACAGATGAGGAAACTGAGGCTGAGAGACTTAATGACTTGCTCATCATCACTCAACCAGTATACGTCCAAAGCACAATGCTAACCAAGGCCTCTCCTGCCCCTCAATCTAGATTTCCTTTGAATATACTACACTGCTTCCCATACATACCATAATGATAAGTGTTGGCATCTTATCGTCTACAATTTTATGAGGTAATGTAATGTGATGGAGAGAGCATAGAACTAAGAATCAAAAGCCTTGAGTTCTAGCCCTAGCTCCACAGAGAATTCCTAGCTGTGTGACCATGAACAAGGCACAACCTTGGTAAGGCCTTCGTTTCCTTATTTGTAAACCAAGGATACATGTATTATCCATGTCCTGGAGATGTTGTGTGCAAAGAACTTTGCAAACCTCAAATGCTAGAGAGGCATGAATTGTTGCTGCTGTTGCAACAGTTACCACACATGCAATAGGTGCCTTACGTTCAATAGGCGCCTTACGTTCAATAGGCATTCACTATTCCCTGATCAGATGGACTGAAAACTAGGTTCTGTGGTTTTAGGCAAAGCATCTAACTTTACTATCTCAGCTTCTTCCTCTATCCAATAGCCCTATCTTTTGCCAAAGCTTCCCAACAGCGCTTCTGTTAGGAGAAAATGATAGATTAGAAAATGTTCTGCCAAGTCCAAAACACCTTTCACAGTAGGGATGCAACATGGGCCAACGGGCCTTACTTACCAAATCGTTTCCTTGTCCACCAGTGTGGCTCTTTAATGGCTGAGAATTTCACATCTGGGTGCAACCGGAGACGATCATACAGATCAGTCGTCCCACACTTTGGTTGCCCGATGATGTAGAAATGAGGAAGACAACGTAGGCGGTAGTGCTTCTCTTTGAAATGGTACAAGTGGTTCCAAAACTCTTTTCTGAGGTAATCAAAGGTTGACCGAAAATGCTTTGAATACAGTGCATAGAGGTTGGTCATGTAAGGATCTGTCGTATTTTTCCCTGTGTATTCCTCATACCAACAGGGATTTTTACTAGTTGGAAGAAATTTGTTAGGGATTACTGAGAACATCTGCAACAACAAAAGAAGGTGATTTTAGATAGTTTATTTATTAATACCACCCCCCTGGGGGGGGAACCCTGCAGCTACCTTAATATGATAACATATATGTTCCAAGCCCTATTTAATTATGCTTGAATATAAAAGGAAATTAAAAGAGATTATGATTTTCAATTTTCCCCCTTTCTCTTTCATACCTTTTTTGAGAGGTGGACTAAATTTTAAAATAGAAATCAGCAGGGGGAAAGTGATAGGTGATGACCCAAGCCAATGCCTGTCTACAATTGCTCGAATTTCTGTCATAAAAGAGCAATCAAATTAAAACAAGTCAGCTGAAATCTGTGTTACTAATTAAGTTCAGGAATGCTGGAGACAAGAACAATGATTAGGAGCACTGATTTAGCTCAGGGTGGAATCATAAAATCAAATTTAACTCCACTTTTAAATTCTGAATTATGGGATCTGCATGAATGACTACAGCCCCAATTATCAGTTTTCAAGAAAGACAGAAAGCAATTATCAAAAGGGTATTTTGAAAAATTTATTAGTCATGGCATTTGGGACATTACAAGTGAAATAGCACATTATTTAAGTTCCATAGCGCTTGACTTTGGGGAGGTTGTCAAGTTTTCCCTGTTTGAACTGAGATTTTAAAATGTATTGAACACGCCAGCAGCAGAGATTAGCTAAGGCTACCTGTGAGAGTGTGTCTGTAAAATCTGAGAAATTGCCAGGCCAGGACACTGGAAAAGGAAATGTTGGAGGAGCTGGGTTGTCATCAGGGTCTTCCACAACTTCATGCTGGGTTCTCAGCCCTTCCTCACCATTAAATAGAAAGAGCACATGAGTAGGAGTCAGGACACTTGGTCCCTAAGTCTCTGAGTAACCTTGGGAGAACCTCTTTATCTCTGTAGGTAACCCCAGTTTTTTTTCATCTATTAAATGGGGAGGTTAGAATGAATGACCTCCTAAGAACTTTCCTGTTGCTAAATTACAGGAGCCTAATTATTTGTCCCTTTTTGCTCCAAACCAAAGTTAAAAATTTTAAAAAAGGAAACCTTGGTTTCTCCTTTTACAAAAAGGGACAAGAAGTAAAAATTCAGTGGATACTTACATGCAGTTCCTGTTTCTCGAGGTCTTCTAGATCTGGGAGCTGCCTTGTAGTAAATTCAACCTTTGATGTGATTGTGTTGATAATTAATTTAATGTTTGGATAATATTTTTCATATGAGATATTCATTAAAAAGGGTTGGTGAAAATCTTTCAAATTCCTCAGGTATTCATCATCTGCTAAAGCTGGATTATTGGGAAAGCTCCTATAACGCAATGATGATGGTATGAGCAGGAGTTCATGTTTGGCCCCAGTCAGTATATATGACGCCATCACCAAAGTCATTATTATCAGTCCACAAACAAGGCTCCATCGCTTCCCCTTTTTGAAGCGAAAAAGCCCACTCCAGCTTTCGTTGTTTTCTGTCCTTACTTCTAAAACTGCAAGCAAGTTCATCTGCTTGCTATCCACTCGAAACAGAATTTTCTCTCCTTTGCAGATGGGACACTTGTGGTGACTGTGATAGGGTCCTCGGCAGCTAAAACACTGTGGGTGCAAGTCATCAGGTAACAATTGTATGCAGCAGTTAACACAGTGCCTCATATTATTGCCTTTTTTATCGCTGCATCAATGAGCCATGGACCAGCCATCAAAATTATTTCTAACACATGCAAATTGGGTTGTAAAACTTTAAGTACAATTTGTAATTACATGGATTTGTTGGAAAGCTAAAGAAACAAAAACACAAATAAAAATGAGCTGAAGCCAGAGAGTTAAAGAATGCACAAACACATTCTTTGGTTAGGCCCAATATGCAAATGAAAGGAAAATAAAAAGATCTTCAATTGGCATGTTTGGTTAAAGTTCACCACAATCATGGAAAACTCTTCGGATTGAAATATAACTGGGAGTGTTGCTCAAGTTTTTCCCATTGTGTGCAGTGAAGTGGAAGAGATGACACTGAAAGGTATCGAAATACATAAAAAATTAGAAGATATCATTTTCTTTCCATTGATGGACACTTAGATGTATAAATTCCATGGAGAGATCCTTTCAGATTTTTTTTTTTTGCTTTTTTTGGGTTCTCAAGTATTCACAATCGGAAAGTATCTTTGAAAGGTTTTGTCTTCTTGGGAGACATTAAAGATCTTTCAGATTACCTAAAATGAAAAATGTTAAAGTTTTATTATTTGATAACAGTAGTCTGATAATCTTCATTTCTTTCAAAGACAGTTAAGCCAGCTCAATAGCATAAACAGAAACCCTACAGAAGAATTCATTTATAGGGTGCTCTAAAGTACAGGAAGGGCTTTCCTCACAACAACTCTGTGACATGAGGAATAGAAGTATTATGAAACCCATTTTACAGAAAGGGGAACTGAAAGGTTCAGCAAATTACTCATGATCACACAGGAATCAAAATCCAATGCTCTTTCTAGAAGGAACCCTCAGTGATTCACATTGGTACCATGGGTACCTACATCCACCATCATTCTTCTAACACCAAGCCTCCCCCACTACTTGCCCACGAAGCAAACATCTCAGTTCTTCTGAAAGCCTTTCTTGGTTATCTCTGCCTTGTTAGAAAAATCTGTTGTACCTCTGAGTTCTAGTATGCTGAAATCCTTCTCAGGCTCACATAGAGCATAAGGCTTGGCTGAATTAAAATACTGCTTCCATTTCTAATCACTACAAAGCAATGGGAGCAAGAAGAAGGATGATGGTTAGGAAGACGGAAGATGAGAAAAAATATTTTTCCAATAAAATCAGCAACTTCTTACTAATAGCTAACTTTTATTGTCATTTTGGGAAGAAACTCATACTTAATGAAAACACAGAGAGTGGAAAGGCCTTTTGCAAAGAGAGTATGCCATCCAAAAAAGCATTTGACTTTAAGTTATTAGACAATTACATTCAGCAACAATATCCAATATATAGTATTCCCATGAGTAACATAACACTTCAGACCTTGAAACAATTTCTCATTTTCATCATCAGTGGTGGCCATAAGTTTTCAGAATCTTTTCACAGAATGCTATGGTTGTAAATGGACTGTGGCCAAGAGAATTCCTTTTAATCCTGTGATGGAAGGAGGGCTGGAAATCAAGACCTGGCTTCTAATCCTGGGCAGGCCATTAATGAGCTGTATGGCATGAAGTGAGTCATTTGAATTCGGAAGCCTCAGTTTTCTTATCTACAAAATGAGGGATCTAAGCCAGAAAATCCCCAAAATCCTTTCCAATGCTAATATTCTATGATTTTAATTAACTTTTTATTGGTTGAAAAAAAAGTACCTGACTCAACATTTAATTCATAGCCAAGAGAAGAGAATCATCACTTAGTCTTTGGGTCCTAAACACCACTCTCCCAATGTCCAAGTTACACTTAGTCAAGTAAAGTTGAGAAGACAGTTATCAATTTAATCAGAGGAGCAAGTACTTTTTGTATTCTCAGTTTCTAGAGAAAGAATATACAAACATACACTGTCAAATTCAACTTCAAAGAAACTAAGTGTACAAATAGGTTTGTGTTTGGGCACAGAGTTTATACATCATTTGTCATATTTAACACAGTGAACATACTGATGTGTTTTCTGTTCTTATGTGTGATTATTAAAACCTGCCCTCCTTTTTGCTTCAAAGGAATTTTTATTATGCACAGCTTCTAGCTGCTGTCAGAACTTCCTGTATGGGAAATACCTGTGTCAGAGTGGCTATGGATATTATCCTTTCCTTCTAATGAGGAAACAGAGGCACAGAGACTTTAAGTGTCTTGACACTTAAAGAGGTCTAGTCTCCAGACTCCCAGGTCAGCGTTGTACCTAGTCAAGAAGAAGACACATTCTCGATTTTACCCTAAATCCATTCTTGTTGGACAATGACCAAAGATGAACAAAAGTAGATGGAAGATGTAAGTGTAAAGTAAAAATGGAGAATGATAAAGAAGGAGGAGAGAAAAGGAAAGGGAAAAGACAGTCTTCCTTCCACTCTCTCCATAGATTTATCAAGGTGAACTAAACCAGGCAGTATTCTCTGAAAATTAACTACCGAATATACTCTTCTTGAAAGAAACAGAGTAAAGTAAACATACAATATAGTCCTCCACATTACTACCTATAGTAACATAGCATATAAGCTCACAGATTAGAATATAGTAACCAAGGAGACTTTAGAAACAATCTGACCCAATCCTTCATTATCCTAAGGAATAAGGCCTAGAAAAGGAAAATGACACCGATGACCACAAAGCAAATAAGTGGCAGAGCTGAGACTGAAACTCAATTTTCTAAATCTAAGTAGAGGATTCTTTCTTTCACAAAACATTGCTATTCCTAGGGCCCACTTTACAAAGGACTGTATCCATGGGTCCCAAAAATTCTGAAGGAAAAGCTGAGGCAATTAATTTGAACTCATTCCTATACACACACACATATATAAATACATAGTAAAATCTATGTGTATGTGTCTTTCTAGTTTTATGTGTGTGCATATATATGTATTTATATAGTCACATCTTTCTCAGATATATATACACACATATACATATATAGACACATCTATCTTAAGATGTAGATATACATGTATTTGTAGAGATGTATATACATATATCAACATCTTTCTTAAGTTTTATATATACAGACATCTTAATATTTAATATAGATATCAATAGATATCTATAGATCTATTTTTAGATATATCTCTCTCTATAGACATACTTTAATATAGATATATCTTAAGAAAGATGTGGATAGATATATAGATGTACCCACATATATGTGTACATATATGTGTGTGTGTATATAGACACACATAAGTGTGTGTCTACATACACATATATACACATTCAAGTCTCTCAGCATTCCAATCTATTCTATACATTGCTTTTAAAATAATTTTCCTTAAAAACAGACCTGATCATGTCACTTTCCCATTCACACAACTTCAGTGACTTCTTATTGCCTCTAAGATTAAATATAAATTTCTCCATTAGGTTTTCAAGTTGTTCACAATCTGGTCCCAACCTCTCTTTCCAGCCACACTGGACATCATCCTCCTTCTTGCACTCTGTGAAGCAGCCAAACTGAACTTCTCTGTTCCTCACACATAACAGTCCATTTCCCACCTCCACGCCTTTGCACTATCTCACATAGCTGGATTATACTTTCCTTATCACCCCTCTTTCTTTAAGATGGAAATCAATCACCATCTTACAGCATGAAGCCTTCTTCCTGATCCCCAGATGCTAGTTCCCTCCCTCTCAAACTACTTTGTATTTAACTACTTTGCATACATTTGGGTTTACTGACATTCCATTGGTATTGTATAAAGTTTTATATGCTGTTGTGGTATCCTCCATTGAAATACAAGGTGCTTTCGATTAGGAGTTGCTTCATTCTTTGTACTCCAGTGCCTGGCACATAGCAGACACTTAATAAGCACTCGTTGATTGATTCATTGTGCATATGCATGGTGCACATGCTTGTGCACGCACACACACACACACACACACACACACACACACACACACACAGAGGCAGACTATTAGGACATAATCCAAATATAAATTCACCAGCACAGCCTTCAGTTCAGTGAGGCTGGAGAGATTTGTTTATTTATTATTTTATTTTATTTTATTTTATTTTGTAGAGGGTAAATAAGTAACATGGCAAGGCAAGTGAAGTAGGAGCTGTTCATTATTTTTTTTAATGGCCCATAATGTCAGAAGCTCTGAGGCTTTGGGTCAGAAATGGGTAAAATGGTATGAGAGTAACATAGGAGAAAAATATGCACCATGTCAAACTGTACTACTATCAAGAGTCCAAGAAAGCTCTGAGGATGCCCCCTGCCCCCCACATACTTCCCAAGGAATCCCTCTCTCATAATAACTGTTTGTTGCCTCCATTTCTAACACCAGGTCATTTGACACTCCCAGTATGAGGAATAAGGACTCAGGTAAACAGCCCATGTTAGGCCTTCTTAAGATGCCCTCAATGAAACATGTCAAAAACCACAGGGTTCCAACTTCAACCTCCTATTTCAATAGTCTTGAGATGTCCCTTGGTCAAAAATGATTCTCCCAATGATTACAAAAAAAAAAAGTGACCTGGCACTTCTTTACTAAAGCCAAGAGAAATTGTAACAATGGCTAATACAAAGACAAAACAAACTGAAAAAGGAGATGCCCACCCACCAAGACTTCAGCGGGGAGTCAGCCAGCACCCTTCCATCTGTTGGCCAAAGTAAAGTCTACACAGATGAAGACCATGGACCCTCAGGCTGTAAAGACAAAAATGTGCAAGGTCTGGACCAAATACATTCCTAACTATGAACAATGATATCTTCTTTCAAGCTCAAAGAAAATCTCTGTAATCTTGCATCTCAGATCTGGAAGGCTTAGCACAAAGAATTTATAACTTGCCTTGTTATTAGTTACTCAGAGTATTTCTCCTTTAAGGCTATGAGATCCATTTTTACAGGTTCCTTCTTTTCTCAAAGCAAATAACACTTTGACTAAGAAGGTCCAAGAAAAACAACAACTCCATCCTTATGATGTTTCTCCTAAGTATGAATGGAAGAAAACAGATTGGGGAATTCATTGGGATGCAGTTGACATTTTCTAGTTTGCAAAATGCTTTCCAAAACAATCTCTCATTTGGTGTAAGGTAAATAGCACAGGTATTATTTATCCTGATTTCAGAGATGAAAAAACTAGGCCTCAGGTTAACTAAGTTAACTCAAGGTCAAGGAATAAGGACTAGAAAAAGCAGATAGATGTTGGGACATCTAACCAAGTATTTTATACATTTTATCATACAGACTTTCAGCTTTCACATGGTTCAACTAATAAAAGGAAGGCGGAGATTTCCTCATTCCTCCCCTGCCAAAAAAGAGCAGATATAGTCAGATAACAAAAGTATCTGACATTTATGTATGTAAGTTTGCAAAGCACTTCACATAAGTTCATTCGAGACTCACAACAATCTTGTGATATAGGTATCAGAAGTATTATTATACCCATTTTACATATGAGGACACTGAGGCTGAGAGAGATGAAGTGATTTAGTCATGGATCAAGCAGCTTAATAAATGTCAGACGCATTTAAAACCCAAACCTTACTGACTCTGAGGGAGCATCTACCCATTAGATGCTGCTCTAAAAT